GAGTCATTTTGAGGTGCATTTGTCTACAGCAAGGGTGAGCTGTGGTCGCCACGCGGTTTGCCAAGACCGTCTTTTTACACAATTATAATTCCTACCAACTATGTTACTGTATACTAAGTACAGCAGACAGCTGGCCGTATTATAGATGACCAAGTCAGGCAGGGAGCAGGCGGGTCCAACTTCCACTGACTGTTGGTTTCACCACGGCGCTCGGCCGCCGTCGCTTCCTCGGCTGCCGGGCGCCCGCGATCGGCCGTCGCTCCAGCGCGCCGAGCCCCGCGGTAGGAGGCGCTGCCAGCCATTATCCAATTGAATCATTGAGCCAATTGACCACGAGGCCCGCGTGCTTTTTGCCCGGCGAGCGTACGGCGTATGCAAAAAGCATGCAAATAGTCTGTCCGGGCCTACCGTCTCGGTTCTACCAGCCGAGGAGTCGGTTGGCAACGGCCATCTCCTGCGGCCCATGAGCGCCTTGCACGCTGCCTCTTCATTCAGACCAATTGAATCGAGTTCTGCAGCTCGCGTACTATTCCTCACGGCCATGGCTACACCACAACAGAGGTGCTAACTCGCTCGGAGAGGTCGGGAGAGATGCAAGTTCAGGCACTCCGTACCATGGTGTGATCGGTGGGTTGTTGCTGCAGCGTCATTTATCCGATACGGCCGCGGTGATGACGGTTGGTCCGAGTTCGTTTTGCGGTTGCTCGGTTGGCTGAAGCTGCACCTGCACTCGCGTCACGATTTACGGACGGGACGGTGGGAATCGGCGAGAAAGACGCGCAATGATCATGCAATGGGGCCTTCACGAAGTCGTCACAAACAAATTGAGTCATTCTTTAAATACCTCGTTCTCACTTTACTGCTAAAAAGAAGCTCATTCGGGCAAGTTTTCCCAAGGCTCTCATTTAGGATGTCATCAGCTGATTTTTATCTGACAACAAAGCTTAAGTGAACACATCGACCCGCAGTACAGGTTATTTTATCTATACTCCGGCGAACTATTTTTGTCGGCAGGCTCCCAGCTCTTGTCGACCGGCCGGGCCGGACGCGGGTATTCTGAGCTGGACGTTCCCATGCGCGGCCGCAGGCCTGCCACGCCGCGACGCTGCGGAAGCGCTGGCCATTGGGAGCGACAGTAGCATGCACCTGTGTTCCCACCCGGCGACAAATTGCCCGCGCGCAGTGCCGGCCGCCGTGCCGCCGACCCGGACCTCTAATCGAGCACAGCGCCGGCACCGCCGTGACGAGCAGAGTGCTGAGTGCTGACTGCCGAGTGCTGAGTTCCGGCCGAGTGTCCACTGTTGGGTGCCGTGGGGACGGGTCGACGTCAATGTCGCGCCCATCGACGGAATTAAGGCGACTGCCCTGAGGATCGTGATTACGCAGCCCTGACAAATGTCCGCTTTGTCGCCCCGAGGCCACATGACAGGCACGAGTCTCACAACTTGATCGGCCGCTAATCACAGTCACAGCCCCGGGAACAACGTCTCAACAAAGCGGCGGCTTCAGTACGCCAGCTGCCGATCGCTATTAGCCGTCGATAATGATACGGTCATCAGTCGGCTCTCTCAATAACCTGGCACGCGCCTCCAGACGTCCTTCAAAAGCACCTGCGGCTCTGGAGGGTCGCCGGCACCTGCTTCGGTGAAAATCCTTCCCGAGTCGCACCTGCTCGAGCTCATGAGAAATCACGAGCAGTCACGAACGTCTACCGTGACTGTGCGCCGCCCCTCCCCCAGCTGAAGGACGAACGTCGGACGGTGGCGGCTGACGTCCGCCGTCCCCGATACTCCGTGTGTGTGACACGGCGACAGCGACCCGACCGTGAAGTGAAGGGTCCTGCTCGCCGCCGCGCCGGCCGGCCGCCCTTTCCCCTCCCGGCGCTCTCATGAACAATGGCGGACCCCGTCGGAAGGACAAAAAGACCAGTCCGCGCGCGTGTGATGCCCTCTACTGAGCATGCATAACCCCGCGTGGCACTAATGGTCCCGGCTACCCTTGAAAAGTCCGCTGGTTTTATTGTGACCACTGCCGTCGGTGGCCGCAACTGACACTCGGCGCTCGCTGGGGCGAGAAGGCAGAACTGTCAGAACTACCCGACCTGCAGTCGGCGCCATCAGGGCGTTCTAACCAGAGTCCAACGACGCTAATTGGTCGTCGGTGTCATGTCAGCACGGCGGCGGCAAGACGGCATTGTGTGCCGCTGATAGCGTCTGGAAGCCGTCACCCCATGGCGTATGGTCAGTGTCATTTCCAGGGTGCCCACTATATTGTTCATTGTCTCGTGCAGCGTTGTGTTAAGATCGTGACTGTTTTCCCCAAGCATCCGTCAACGTCTGTCAACACGTGTAAGTAAAGTAGCGCGATACCCATTCATTCACCCATGCAGCGAGTTATGAATGAATTGTCTCGTTTGTGAAGTCATTCAGGAGTTTGTAATTTAATAATTCATCCGTTCGCTTCCTTTATATGTTTGTCGCTTTCTGTTGTCTAGGTAGGTATAGGGTGAATAGGTCAAAAACGCCCCCATTAAGCGCGAAACCTTCTGACACTCAACCCAACCCAGATTACTCAAACCTTTGGGCACCATCATGTAGCTCATTCTTTTTACTACGCTTTGAGACCAAAAAAAGACACTTGCGTGTGGTATTTAACCCCCCAAAAAGGTTTCCGCATACCCTTACAAAAGGGCGTTTTGCCCCACACCCTGGGTAATACGCCCACACCCATGTGCAAAGCGCCCCCACCCCATCCATCAACAGAAAATGATGAACATGGCAGAACTTGACGTCATTCTGACGTCATTTGTGGTTAACCTATCATAGCCTTTGGAATAAAATGTTGTTGCAATGTGTAAAATGGATGCCCGGAGGAGTCCTGAAAGTTTGGTGACAATATCTGCAGTCGTTTAGGATATATCAGCAAAAAAGGACAGGGAGAGGCCTTTTCGGCCCCGACCTACAGGGCGCTACCCTGCACTCTCACCACCGTGCAAAACGCCCCCCTTTCAGAAAACTGGGGGCGTCTTGCCCCATGCATCGTCTTTAGTAGGCGTCTTTCCCCATCCACTCCATTTCCGGTCAACAAAATATTGACAAAAAACGCGCCACTAACGCCGTAGCATAATAAATTCAACAGAATGACAATAAAACGCAGTTTTGAGTGATGTGCACAATAGCAAGTTTTGTGATATAAAGAGGGCATCAAAAGCTTAGGAATCTTCTGTAAAAACAACAAAAACAACACCCAAAACCAACATCAGCACCTACCTACGCTGCTCCTCAAGACGCAGAACCGAAAATAGAGAACTACGTAAACAAGCAGCTGATTGTTCTGAAAGACAGGATAAAACACCTATCCGCCGATAAGATCTACGATTTTTTTAGGGGAGGCGTTTAACCCAGGGGTGCGTTTTCCCCACAGTTACCCTATGTGTGGCTTCCAGCTTTCCCGAATATTTTTTTTTTTTTGCTATCCAGTTAGAAGAGCCGTCTTATTTTCTGCATCGAACCTACATGTTTTATTGATAAGGTTTATTACATATTACGTTACGTTCATCACTTTTATAACAGTTTGTTTCAATTTATATGTAGGCTCATATGCAGAGGCATATGTCCGAATGCATTTCAGTGGCCCGATTGAACACGATCCGTGCTTGGTTGAGATGCTGAATTTGTTCATATTATCAAATTATCATCAAATTATCATTTGATCACTCACGACTTTGGTCAATAAACTCATCCCGTTAACCAGTGAACAATAACTGTCCCCAAAACGATCTTTCCTATTTTTGTTCGGAACGTGAGAGAACGGATGTCTCGCGTGAGATACTAATTATCCATCCATCATGACCGTTCTCTGAAGGTTTAAAGGGTGCAACCGTTCCCCGACAGCCGCAGTTCATCAGTCCAATGAAGTAACTAACGCGTCAGCTCTGCGAACCGCTCGCAGCTGCGCCGCCATCACCGCGCCGGGGGCTTTGTTTCGACCGCGTGTGTCGCCAGCCAATCATCTCACCCGCCGACCGTGAACGGTGTGACGTCATCTCACGGCGCGGCGTGCCGGTCCATTTCACGGCGCGGGGAGGGAGGGAAGGGGAGGTGGCCCGGTGACCTTCTGAGGGGGTGCGGACCATGACCGACCCCCGCGGCGCGCCGGGCCGGTCCGCTCAGCGCTGCCAGACGCGTGACGAGCCGACCTGCCGAGAATGGGGTGGAGAGACTAACTCGACAGCTGACGTGTGCCCGCCTACCAACATTGGCTACAATATCCAACCCTGCTTTTTAGTTTTTAGTTTCTATTTGTTTCGTCTCCCTTGATAACACGTCCGTGCCTAGAAAGTTAGGTGAACGTCCAGCACGAAGCATTATTATTTGCGACTTTCGCTAATGTTGTAACAAGTCAAAGTTTGCGGTGCAGTGTCCACCGAGAGGCAAACCTTTCGGAGTGTTGATCGAATCAGCTCAATGAACTCGATCCGCCCTAATCAGCATGGAACTACTGCTGGCTGCCAGTGACGCTGTGCTAAGAAGTTGACCCCAGTTTAACATGTAAATAACAGGCGAGAGACGATTGGTCGAATGGATTGGTACCGATCAATGGCACGCCACTAAGTTGTCTCGCTGATAACTTCTGCCAGTTAAGAGCATAAGCCGCTCAAAATAATATGGGTATGAAACGATATGTGCTTGTAAAAAATTCAAAAGATCTTGCAAGTGTTTCTCGGGTACGGGTAGGATTATTAGCTTTAACATTTCACAGGGGTGTCGTAGTTACTTAGCTTGGAACTCCGGATAAAGTTCATTGGAGATAACGCTGCCACGAGGGCTGAGGCCAGTGCCTCCAGCGAACCTTGCTCATAACATTTTGCAAATCGGCACAGTGCGAACAAAGAAATGTGTACGTTGTAATTGATGACTCCGACACATTTCTCGACAGGCTCAAGCCAAAGGTTATTCTTCGTCCTCAACATGACTAACTCGCTTGTTTTCTTCTGTTCCAGAACCAGGGACGAGGCTCAAATCTGGAGACATCGTGCGATGAAAGCTGCAGACTTGAACAGGTGAGCCAACAGAACTCTGTTTGCATATAAATATGATCATAAAACGTTAATATAGATAGACATACATGCGCATTTTTCAACACCAGCACGGTCGCTAACTGATTTATGAGCACAATAGTATATCATGACCTGTCTGATTTATAAATCAGTCACTGTTGGGTAATCAGTTCAAATTCCATCACATTTAGTGCGCAAGAAATGGCGTCTTTCCTCTCCTGTAATAAAAGGTCCGACCTGTTACGACCAACATCCTGCGGCTAACGACATAGCCATCAGGGCGGTCAGAAAAACGGCGCCGGTAAAGACAGATCCGGCGCCGTGGATACAAATGACCGCGCACCGGCCGGCCCCACAGTCCGCGCGGCCGCCCAAGGCTGTCCCTGCCTCGCACCTTTGTGGGCGCCGCGCCGGTCGCGTTCTCTGGGGCCGGACGCCCCGCTGACCGGCCGTTCAAACAGTGACCGGTGGACCGACTGTTTGTCGCCGCTCGGCTTCTGTCAGCGCGGCGCGCGCGTGAGAGACGGGCTTCCGCCGGTTTTGTCTAATGCGGCGCTCCCACGTCCCGGGCCGGCAGCGGCGTGCGGATAAAATCGCCAGGTACGGCAAAAAGTGTCCATCACGGGACTGGCCACAATACAGGCCGCTAATCTTTTTATTATGGGCGCCGATCGTTTCCGCGGCCGTTGAATGGAGAGGAAGTTCCGGCTTTGATCGCGGCGTGAGTTGTCGCGGCGGCGGCGCGGCGGGGGAGGGGCGGCACGCGGGCGGCGGCCACACCGCCAAATCACGGCGCGGACCGACGCACTATGGTTGGAAACGGCCTCACGGATGGCCGTGGGCAATTTCGGAATATATGTATATTTGGGGTGTCATTCTGTTGGAAATTGATGAAATGTTTTGAATTGGGCAGCAAAAATTATTTAGTTGCGCATTTAGTCTCCATTATTGTACGTGGAATCGGGAGTTCCTGATAGTGACTTTTTTGGTGCGCCGTCAAAGGTTTAAACAACCGCGCTGTTGATAGCATGTGGAGTACCTCCATGACGTTGTAAAACTGGATTATTATATATCAAAATAATCCTTGTTATGTTGGCTATCGAGTGGAGTGACTCTTTTTCCCATGCGTGTTCAAAATCAGGAACGGCATTGCATTCTGTTTGCAGTGTCACCACAGCAATATTTGCAAAATTACGTTTATGTTTCATTTGACATACAAAAAGTTCTCCATCGACCTCCATTGAGCTTTTTGGCAGAATAAATCTCTGTTCAATTCTGCGTTAGGGGAACGTAAAAGCAGACTGCGCACTTGTGCGCAAAATCGTCCATGAAGCTTCATCTCCCGAGGCGTACCTACCCGTCGCTTCGTTAGCACCAGGTCGGCTCGTCAGTCTTGCAATCGCTTATCCTTATAAATGATGGTAAGAAGCAGGGTTGCGGAGTCGTGGTGGCGCCAAATCCGACTCCGACTACGACTCCGACTCCTGACTCGTTGCCATGACTCCGGCCGACTCTGTCTCCGACTCCGGACCCCTGCCAGTGTTTCGGAGTCGTGATGGAGCTGTTCCGATTCGGACCGACTCCGACTTCCACTGCGGGCTCCTGACCGACCCCGACTCCGACTCCGACTCCTGGCTCGTTGCCACGACTCTGGGCGACTCTGACTCCGACTCTGACTTCGACTCCGCACCCCTCGTAAGAAGTAACTGCTCACCCCTGCACCTGGAGTATGGATATCGTGCAAACGTGTATGGATATCCTGGAGTATGGATATGGATATCCACCGACAGAGCAGACATACAGACATGCTGTAAACGCCATTACACTGCCAATACCATGGCAAATCAAATGGCTATCTATGGTTTTTGATCATCGTTCTACATTTTCCAAAATCTTGAACTGAATGTTGGCAATTTCTCGTGACTACTTCACGACCATGACGCATGCATTTCTGAAATTGATCTTTTTTCAACCAGCCAGGTACTCGTATGATAAAATGAATGTCACCATCGTGTTCTACGCCCAAAAGTACCCATAAAACATGTGTCATGCATGGGCTGCGAATAGGTACCAGTTTTAATTTTCGGGGTTATGTGCTTACCTGATTGACCTGACTTTGACCCTGGCCAGTGGCCTATGTTTGACTGACCCCTACATTGATCTGACACTCTTTTAGCACTTATATGAAGGGTTGTGACAGTTGTGACAGTTGTGACAGATTGTTTAGGACCAACTGATGACTGAATTTATTTAGGACCAACTGATGACGATATAATCGAAACGCGAAACGCGAGGCACCGATTGCGAGGTTCTAAAGTCCATGCTACTGAAAGCCCGATTTCAAGTGTTTGACCTGACTTTGACCCGACCTGTGACCTCGAAATTCAGCTTTAAAGTATTCATGTGAATCGTCTCGTCGCGTTCTTCTTTCGTTTGCCGCGCCTCGTGCGTTTCGCTGCGCCTATTTGTTCGCGAGTTATCGGCTGGGGGCGTTGAACGCCCCCCCCCCCGGCAAACGGCGGATGGGGAAATACCCCAGCAACTGCCGGGTTAATCTGACGCATGTTTTGTCATTTGATCGCGCGTCATTTTATTTCTTACTTTTTTGCCCAATCTAAAAAAAAATCATAAATACTCTTTCTCCAAATTTTTGACCCTTTATGACCAATAGTAAGACACTGTGCGTCACTACGTTGATATTTCTCGCGCTAAAGCATAACAACAATATCCATTCAGTAATAGCAGTATTCAAAACATGTTCAAAATGCCTCGCGATATCGATAACATAACGAAAGACATAGGCGACTTATAACATACTTGCAATGATGACGTCACACATGCGTGACGTGACGTGACCTCGTCATTTCTGAGTTACTGTATGATGCACGAAAGAGACTGGTATACCTATGCAAAGTTTCATCGCAGTCGGTCTACGCATTAACAAGTTATGGGCAAAACATTTTTTCGCGTTGACCCCCGGCCATCCGTGAGGCCGTTTCCAACCATAGTGCGACGCACTGATTCGGCCTCAGCCGGAAGGCTCGCCGGTGGCCGGGTCGGGTGTGCGCGCCACTGAGCGGGTAATATCCGGCCGCGAGCTGATGGCGGCGCTGATGGCGGCGCGGGGGGAACGTGGGGCGCCCGCTGCGACACCACGTCACCACCGAATGGGATGGCACTGCAAGTCACCGAGGGCGGAGCGCTGCCAACAAAGGGTTCGGCCGGTCTGTGACGGGACCACCGTCACGAGTGTCGCAGCGGGTGACGGTGGGACGGCCCGCCCTCACTTCGCCCGTGGGACTCGCTAACCCGACTCCAGCCCCCTCCGTCTGCGCCGTCACCGCAAATTAAACCAAACTCGCCCTGTGAGCTTCCAGACCGGTGGGTGCAGGGCTCAGCCCACGCGGCAGCCATTTTGTGACGGTGTGAGCGGCTCTGTTTGCCTGTCGGACGCGGAGGTCAGGCTGCGTGCCGCCTCGTCCGAGTCACGACCTCGCGTGTGTGCCCTTCTCATTTGATCGGTCGCGGCCGGATGTTTTAGCTGGTCACATTGTCAAATAGCGGCCTTCCGCAGAGGATGTGAAAGCCATCTCGGCGCGACCGTTCGCGGGATTTTCCATGTAAAAAGGCGTGACGCACCTGTACGGATGATATGACGTATCGCATGACGTTGGGGTCACATACCGTGACGACCTGAATGACATTCCGTCACGGGAAGTGACAGATCCAGCTCACAGCCGATATCGGCCAATGTCAGCTCAAGTCAAGTCACAAAACGATAAGTACGATAAGTATTTCCAGAACGGAAAGCGGAACAAGATCATATCCGTAAACATTCAAATCATAAGCAGCAAACATTTAAGATAAATACGACTACAGTCAATGCTTAAATACAACATGTTATCCAAGCGTTAGAAAGAAACGGGCGAATAGTTGGTGCTTATTTTTTTTAGGTTAATCATTTTGTTTAAATGGCAATTAAAAGAAAAGTGCATGTTGCAACGTTAAAAGCGATTTTTTTTACAATAAAGATACAAAGGCAAACACAAAAGTGATGCGAGAATACGAGATAAACGGTATGCCATCCAGCAAATGCAACATCTCGTTTGATCGCCGTGTTTTAACCGCATAATCTTTCTGTTTCAGTGCAATAAAGGATGCGCCGGGAGAAATCGCTCCCTCGAGTCATCTTGTAAACAGTTTTGTGTGAGTATGGGGCGGAGACGGTTCCTTTCTACACCATGTATCGTGTGCTCTGTCAGCTGGATTATTTTTGTTTGAGTGGTATAGTGACAGTGGGAACGGTCGAGTAAATAAGGCCGTATTCTGGATCTTCGGAGCGGGATGGTAACACATGAAACAATAACACAGACATAAAATACGTCCTCCTGTCACTGAGTTTGGAGAAGAAGTCTAAACTAAGCTTTTTTATCTTCGTTTTTATAATAATAGGTTGGCACTTGAAATGCAGGGTCATTACTTTTGTATGTGCCTGATACATTTATGACTGCTATGTATTTTCTGACCTTACTCAATTCGCTATCCTGCATCTTGAGCATTTCATATCACATCTCGACCTGACCTGACCTGACCTGACCTGACCTGCCCGGACGTCATTTCCCTCATCAGATGGACGAGGGGCCGTCATCGCAGCAGGGAGAGCGCTGGTACTGCGTCATCGGCTGTAACATCGCCGTCAGTCGATACGTTCAGCAGCTCAGAGGTGAGGAAACACCTCGCGAAATATCAGCTGCCATCCGCCGAACCCTTTGCGGCAGCTATTTTCACGCCCGTGCCTCCTGACTGGTTGAGTAAAACCAGCGGTCTCCGAGAGCCCGTCCGTTTGTGTATAATGGCCCGCCGGCCCCCAGAAACGACCCACTAGCCGGCCGTTTAAGCGCTGCAGCGCTACACATGTTTATGACTCTGGTGTCCAGTTGTCACATCAGTTAGGTACTCATGCGAGAGCCACGTTTGTTTACGCTCTCCGCTGGCACGGGTTTGGCTCCAAACTGGCAGTTTTTCGTTCTCCCCCGCTATCAACGGATTAGGCATCTGCCGTAGCTTCAACGTGCAGTTGTTTTCAAAAGACGGAATATATGTACATGTTTGCACCATTGATGACTTCCAACGTGCTGAATATCTCGGCAATGTCGCACGGTAGTCTGTCGAAATTCCAACACCAGATACTATGTGGCAGCTGTGGAATGACTTGTGTAATGTGTAATGTATATCTGTCCGTGGTTATATGCCAGATGTGTGTATGCATGTATATAAGTTAATTCCTGCACTTTGACACAAATTGCTGACTCGCAAGATTCAGATTAATCATTAAACCATCAATTTAAGCGGTTATTCGGGTTAAGCTCGTACGTTTTTAGATATATATTAAGCCGTTTAACATATAGTCACTGCGTGCCTGTTCCGTTCCTCTGACCCCGCCCCGTCCAACAGAGGAGCTCCAGCTGGGCGCTCCGACTCTGGTGCCGGACTCGCTGACGGCCGACTCTGTCACCATCCGATGGCTGGCCCCTCCGCTGCCGCACGTCATGCTGCTCGTTCAGTATAAGTGAGTTAGGCATCACGCCTTGCGTCTGCCTTTACCGTATTTTATAGTCTGCCCTTGGTCTATCAGAGTCCGACTGCCGTCTGCGCGTTCCGTCTATATCGTTTTCTGTTTACCGCAGGCGGTCGATAAATGATAATGAAGCTTAGTGCTATATCATTTTTTCTGCATAGTTTGCATATTTAAATTCGATGCAGCTGCTTACCCAATACCCATGTCTACGTCACTCTAGTTCATTGCTTTCCTTGCTGACTTCAAATCGTTACACGGGCCCGGCGTGTGTAAGCATTTCATTGCTTTCACGTTGTGCTTTGCGGAACAGCATACGTTTCAGGCGTTTGTCTTGCGGCACAGCATCCTGTCACGGGCACGTGATCCTGTGCACCATTGAAAAGAGTGTGTTGGAAGCAGTCGGGAGCCAAGCTTGTTGATTTGTTGACAATACATGATTTTATCTCCTCTTAGGTATTCGGATCTACCCGGCGAGTGGATATTTTATCAGCCGGACGTGAAACTAAACGCAAGCCAAGTTACAATCACGGGACTAAAACCCTACACGAAATACCAGGTAAGCCCGAGCCATGAACCTCCCTCATCCAGCAGATCCTCATCCAGTCTTCGGTTATTGTGTCGCATGTTATAATATAGACGCTGTCCATTCTCAGCTGGGCCCTACTGCGTGTCGCACTGGCACGTGCCTTGGTGGTCGCTGGCGCCCGGCGCCTTTGGGACAAATATCCTAACGACAGTGGCCGTCTGAAGGATACCAGGACCGGCTAGTGTAGACAGAGGTCTCTTGGGAGGCCGCAGTGTGGCTGTGGTGGAGCAGTTCTCGAAGAGTTTACGAGAACGTGTTTGGCACGCCACCATGAGACCACTTCGCTGATAGAGGAGACCGATTAGGTATCCAATTTAAGAAATGTCATTGTGTTTTTATAACTAATTTGATCTTTATGTAACCGTACGTTCGTTGTATCCCTCAGTTCCGCGTGCTGTGGGCGGTGGCGGCCAGTCAGGAGCCTCTGCCGGGCGCCCCCTCCCACCCGATCTCCACTCTCGCCCGCGGCCGGCCTGCCTCAGCCCCCGAGGCGCTGACCGTGGCGGCTCCGGACGCTCACCACGTATCTCTCCGCTGGCTGCCTCCGTCCTTCCCCGGCGGCCCTCTGGTCAGCTACCTTCTGGTGGTGCGCGCCGGCGGCCAGCGCACCGCCGCAGAGATCGACCCCCACCTGACGTCACACGTGCTGGGCGGCTTGCAGCCCAACACCAACTACACGGTCACCGTCTCGGCCATCAACAAGGACGGCGCCGGACCGCCAGCAGAGAGCTGGGTGCGCACTCCGGCACTCGCGGCCGAAGGTGAGCGAATACGAATAGTCTGAGAGAGGGATGGGGTTGTTTCTGCGCTCGTCTGGCAAGCACTGGTGGACGTATGCAGTTGCATCGTCACTGACCATGCATCATGGCCATAAGATTTGCTTTGTTGAGATACATTTGTGTCGCTAAATATTCCATCACTGGTTCTGTGTCTCGGGGTCTCTGGGATCCCCATTCCCCATGTCACCATCAGCGGCCAGCGCTGCATTCACACGACGGGCTCCAGTCATCTTTCTTGTGAGCTCCATGACACACGAGTCTGCTCATTTGCCCCGTTGCCCCTTCCTTACTCCGGGGTGGCTATTGAACACCCCACGCCACCCCTGACGTCACACGCCCCTTTTAGTTATGCAGCCACTAGAGACGCAACCCTTGTTGCAGCCCGCAATGACGTCACACTCCTCTTTCAGTCTCCACCCAGGAGAGGCCAATGCTCATCATCGGCAGCGGCGATCTAATCCTGCGACTGAAAATGAACGTCACTTCGGCGCCGAGAACGGTCTACAGAGCCGACAAAGGCGTCAACATCACAGGTCGGTTTACGGGTCATATCGGACATGGGAACGGTGGTAGTGGGTACTGGGTCCATTTGAGATCCACTTGTCACCACGAGCATTGCTAATGAGACAGCTGCAGTGTTGTTTATGCTGTCTCTGGTTAGACTGGGTGATATGTCCAAGTCAGCCAATTCTTTCAGCATTTTGGTTTCGAAGTTGAGATACTAAAGTGCTGAAGGGCATTACAAAATTTTGTCCAATGCCTGCGTACCAGCGTTGTTTACGTAAACGTGACTTCAGAGGGAGCAATGGTGTGTGGACCAGACAACAGGCCTCTTCGACCCCCTGAAGACAGGATTCAGACTGTCATCTGTTGTCAACCAGTCATGTGACCTGTCTGAGACCCCCAGGCACAGCCATGCATGTCTCCTCGGGCTGGCCGTTTCTGCTCACCCGGCCGGTCGTGTGACCTCTGGTGACCTGCGATCTTCCCCCTCAGGCACGGCTATGGACGTCTCCTCGGCTCAGCTGTTCCTGGCCACCTCAGCCGGCCGGGTGCTGCGCCTGCCTCTGGACGGTAGCGCCTCTCGGCCGGTAGATGTCACCCCTGTCGGCCTGGCCGGTCAGCCGGCGCTCCTGGCACTGGATTGGCTGGCCGGCGCCCTGTACGGACTGGTGGCCGCCCCCGATGGAGACTGGACCGTGCAGCGCTGGCTGCTGGAGGACCCGACGGCGATCGACACTGGTCTGCGCTTCGCTGCCCGGCCGGCGCATATGGCTGTCGATCCGCAGAACGGGTGGGTAGACGAAGGAACCGCGGGTGGCCCATGAGAGGATTCTTCGGTAGCTGTAGGTTTATGAAGTCACCAGGGTCTAGATTCCACACAAGGCTGTGTTTTATCAATGGCGTGCTAAAATAGCCCCTCACTGAGAGCAGCTTCAAAAGCAAACACCTCATCGGTCTGCGTGATCCTCACCAGAAGGCTGCAAAAGGCAGTGGCGTTTCCGGCGACTTCCGTTCTGCGTCGGAATACACAGTCCATAAACAGCTGACCCATCGGTTTTCTACCTCTCTCTGGCCGGCATGTCCCGCCGGAACCATGAGCCAATAGTTTGCTTACACAGTCGCTCGTCTTGCTGAGACTGCCGGCCGCCGCTCGGCCACCCCCGCGCACCTCCTTCTGCGGCCACTGACGTCACCAGTGACCCGCGTGACGTCACTGGTGACTAGCGGTCAGTGTCTGGTGGGCGAGGATTCCGGTCTCAGTGGCGAGATGTGTCATTACCGAGATATCCCAGGCGCTCGGTGGCCGCCTTGCAAGCCTAACAAGCCCTGAACAAACAAACAAATAGATAGACGAGAGCGAGACTTCACACGGGGGTTATGCACGCGGCTGCAATTGCTACAGTTGCAACGGACCTTTCATCTCACTTTCACAGCAGCATGGCGATACCGATTTTGTTACACTTTAGGACACCGGAATGGCAGTGAGCTCGTTTTATGACGTAATGTACACCCACAGTGCACTTCGTTTAAATGTCCGTGCGTATTGATTTCAGCATGCTTGTTTGGTTTACATGAATTGCCTCTCAGCTCACTGTGTCACCCTCCCTCTTCTTATTTTGGCAGTTATTTCTACTACTCGGTCTCTGAGCCCAGCCCGGACGCAGGCCTGTTCCGGTGCAGTTTCGACAACATGACCTCAGCCGAGCGGGTGGCCTCCGGTGCTGACCTCAACTTTGCCACCTTTGTCATCGATCACACCAACTTCAGCGTGCTGGTGCCCGGCCGGGAGAAGAACACCGTGTTCGCCCTCTCCATGATCAGGTGAGCGGCTGCAACAATTTATACTGTTTGTCTCTCATGTCCATGAGCCGGGTTATGTTTGTTGGAATGTTGTCTTATGACTGAAGTATTCTGCTCTATAAAGCCGACCTAACTTTGGCTCTGCTCCGTCCTTTGGCGTTTTTTCAAGTGACCTATTATGTATAACACCTCGCCTTCCTTTTGATTTCACACCTGTTTTCCCCTTAATTTAACTACACTCTGCTGTCCATATAATACTACCCCCATTCCGAATAACTAGCCTTTATCCCGCTACACCCTGCTCTCTTCTCCTCCTCTAATCTCCCCCTCGACCCATTCTCTCCCCAGCTGGAGCCGGGCCGACATCCGCAGCGGCGCCGTCCGGCCGCAGTACGACGGAATGCTGGCGCTGGCCGAGCACGCGCGCACGCTCTGCTGGTCCCGCGGACAGCACATCTACCTGGAGACGTACCGGGCCGACCGGCGCGCTCACTACGCCAACCAGTTCATGTTCAGCCAGACCCGACTGCCGGTCATCAGTCTGCACGTGCAGCACCCGGCCTCGCAGCCGCGGCCGGCGCCGGCCAGCCCGCCCAGGGAGCTCCAGGTCAGTCCCTACGCAGAAGGGAAGGGAAGGGAAGGGCATGCTCTTCTAACATTTTTTTTAGAATGCTGACAAGGGAATAAAGCTTACCTCTTGGAGTGTTGCTCATTGTGAAAGGCCACACACACAATGACTGTTCCTAGTTGCACTAACCACGTTTCTGTCCGTTCAGGTGGTATTCCACTCTGGCCGCGCGCTGGCCCGGTGGCAGCCGCCGGCGCTCTCTGGACTGGCTGGACCTGCCGCCTGGAGTCGCTGGACCTACCAACTGAGGCTGACAGACTCTGCCGGCCGGAGCAGGGATGTGGAGAACATTACAGGGACAGAGGTCACCGTGGAGAAGTTGGCGCCCGACACACAGTATACTCTGCAGGTTAGTGGGGAGTTGGAGGGATCAGGGAAAGGTCGTAGAATTGACGAGTCGCAAACGTCACTCATAGATCACATAGGTCAGTTATGAGTCGTAAAGGTCAGATACATGTAACGTAGGTTAGTGACGAGTCGGAAAGATTACACGAAGGTCACCCAGGCTGGTTACAGGTCATTGAGACTCATGAGTACCCAGCGCTGTTTGAAGTTGCATGTACAATTATACGATTGCATAAGGCTCAGCCACGGTTTATCTTTCCCTTCCTGACCATGTTCTTCGGCTGTCA